CGCGCAAGGAATTTCATTCTGGTGACATCTCCTATTAACCTTCGGGAGCACGATGCGGGTGCTGTCGCCACGTTTCTTTATTCTCCGTATTCTTTTTATCTTTTGCTATCCTCTATGTGCACCAGCTCTTATACGGTGACGACGTTCTCGATATGCTTAGTTCTCAGCTGTTAATTGTCCCGCCTGTGTCCGCTCGCGCGCCGCTGCTTCTTGTCCAGGCTGCCACAGCTCATGTATTCGTTGTAGATCGCCGAAGAAAGTGGCCACATAACATCAATCAAGGCAATGACCGAATCGAACCCCGGCCCCTCCTGCACGCGAGCAGTAAGTTTAGTCGGAGCCTGGCCGTCAGCTGAAGGGTGTTTGCTGGATGGGAACTGCCATTCAGAACTCGTGCCAAGCAATCCTCCAAGGCTATATCTGCACGGTTAGGTTTGCTACTAGTCGGTGCCAATACGTCTCGAGCCCGGTGGCTGTGTCTCCATTTGGACATGGGGGCATCCGATCGTGTCTAAATAAAGAGCACACTGCCAAGACCTTCCCAGACCTCCCAGACTGCCAAAGCTTGCGTGCAACCTGATGGATGACGCGTGGTAATAGCTCGTTTTCGAAATATAAAAGTGGCGTGTTTTTTGTCGACGGACGAACCACACCACTCCGAGTCGTCTTTCGATCCATCCTCACCCTCACGCCGTTGACGACCTCTTACTCTTTCAGCATACCATCAGCTGCTATGTCTCGAACGATCTTCTTTTTAATCATGATTTTGTTCGCAACAATAGCTCTGGCTGCCCCAGTTGACTCCAACCAACTGCTGCCTAGAGCAGAAAAGCGCGAGCTGAGCGAAAACGGAAAGATAGCCCTCATTTCCAGTCCGTACTTCTTGCACTCGATTCTGCGCATGTTATTCGGTTGCTCATACTTCTCGACAGTCTTTGTAGGCCCCATAGCACTCAGTCTCGGCGCAGGACTCGTCTATCTCTTGATTTGGGGTATCGTCGCCCTGTTCTGCGGATGCCAGTGAGGGTCAACGACAACGGTACCAAATGGCGTGTATGCTGGACCACCACTACCACTGGCAACGCAACAAGGGCGGGTGGTGAACTCTCAGGGTGGAGATGTGGCTAACTAAATTTGGGCAGTCTTCTGGGCAACTGATATGTACTTCCTTATGAGGACACTAGTCTTGACCATATGTACATACTGTGTTTCTTCTAACCACGCTCTCAAGCGAGGTCGTGCGTGTGCCCAGTTATAAGTTTGCTACGTTAGATAAGAAATTTACGGTCTAAATCGTTCTGTGTTGGCGCAATTTAGTCGTCGATATGGAAGGCAATCGGTGAGAAGACTCCTATCATTCAGGAACACTTGGTACTGGAAGCTCTCAAATTTCAACCACGTCAATCTCGAACAGGCGAGCGAGCGAGGACCGACCGGAAGGATGTGACCCAACCTCGGATATTCTCTCAGACCCGTCACTTAAACAAACTCTCACAGTGCCTTGCATGGTCATTCGTTGTTTGGATCCAGCTCGAGCCCGCCGTGGGTCGCAACCGGGGTCGGCGTCCAGTCAATGATATGTAACGCCTACCAGCCTGGTCTACGCTGAAGCTAATTGACCAGGCCCCATAGTGTGTGGCTGGGCAACACACACGTGGCTTCGGAAATCCCTTCCTCCACCACCATCCCAGACACCGAGAATCCCCCTCACAGGATCCCTTCGCAATTAAATTTTAGATCTTTTATGAACGCAGCTACCCAAAACACGCTCACCGCTCCTGTTTTCGAAATTCCCACCCCACCAGACGAGTTCGGTCAGGACGGCGGCAAATTCTACCGTTGCTACGATGCGGTTGCGGACGAGATTGACGAGGATATGGTGAAAGGACTGAAGGAACAGTTGGATGGAATGCTCATATTTGTAACTAATTCAGCTATTTCTGCGATTGCTTCCGTTCCCGCTCACATATTACCCAGGCCGGTCTTTTCGCAGGCGTCAATTCTGCATTCCTCGGGCTTACCATCCCCCTTTTGTCCGCCGACCCAGCTGATGACACGAATGCGCTCCTTGCGCAAAACAATGCAATTTTAACCCAATTAGTTATGGGGAAGAATGACAGCCTCCCTGCCAACCCTATTCTACCCTCGGCAGCATTCTCTCCTACTCGTGACATCTTCACGATCAACGCGCTCTTCGCATTGAGCTTAGCATTCGCAATCATGTCATCATTCCTCGCCGTCCTCGGTCGGCAGTGGCTCGTCTACTACCGGAAACGTAGCGGTGGAGGTCCAGACCGTTAACGGTGGGAACAACTCAAGCGGTTCCTCGGAGCCGAACGTTGGCGACTCGAGGCCATTTTAGACGACGTGCTCCCTTCCCTCCTTCAAATAGGGCTCATCATCTTCTGCGCCTCGCTCTTTCTCTATTTTCGTCATCTAAGTCCCACCATTTCCGTAATAATAGGAGTACCGATTTATGTCGGGCTCGCTTTCTTCATTGGAAGCGCACTTTGCACTACGTGGGACAGGTTCTGCCCCTTTCATAGTCCGCTTTCCCATTTACTGTTCTTGGCAGTTCTCCCCTTATCCAAGGCGTGCGAGGCACTCAGGGAGACGCTGCCCATCTTTGGCACGGTCGTCAGGGACAAACCATTCGGGCGAACAGAGGAGAACCTCGAGTTGCTGCAAATTATCTCTCTCCGCCGGACCATTTGTATATCGGGTGAGCCCATCACTTTACTACATGCAATGGCAAACCTCCTAGCATTTAAGGGTACGGCCACCATGGAGCGACTATGGGGCGAGAGCACGTTCCGTCAGCGACTTTTGGAGCTATTTCACAATGCCACTAACGTAGGGATGCAGCTACGAGGCTACAATGCCAATCCTAGGGAGTCTGAAGCATCTGCTAAACGGTTGTACTGCAACGCTGTAGCTCACACTTTGCTTATGGTTGACACCGATTGGGATCAGCTACGAGACTTCCGCAAGGAGCTTGTGGATTACGAGGGCACGAGGATATTGGCCCCCAGCTCACTGCCTTCCGTCTCCTCTCCCATTTTGATTGGGCCAACCCTGGGGTTTTCAGTCCTCTTCTTGCTCTACAACTATCCATCTGATCAAGAATTTCGGAGCATCTGCAATCACCTGGTCGCGTATTCTCAAGTCCTAGCAAGTTGCTCCGATCGCAGATCCTTTTCGGTTTTCTTATGGATCATTTCCCGGCTCCCAGAACTTCGAGAAATAGAATCTGATTCTGTTAGAAGTCTACGAATCGCGTACCGAGGGTAAGTGACTTACTTTACAATGGCTGTATCGATCGTGGCTAAGCGAATTCATTTCTTAATAGAGATATGGATACCGTTTTAGAGGGTTTGAAAAACGCATTCATAGTCTTGTTGGGATCTGAATCTAGGAGCATACCTGACCGCGACCGCGTTTTGGCCAACACGCTACGGTGTGTAGAGCAAATCGTAGGTGACGAACAGATTGGCTTGAAAACGAGCCTCGAGTACAATTTTAAACTACTAGGCTGCTGTGAGACAATTATACGAGACTCACGACTTCCGGAGGCAGCAACCGGCGCAGGGAGGAAATTACGCATGGAGGTGGCACAATTATGGAGGCGCGAATGGGCTACAGAGACGGTTCTCCAAAAATATTTGTAAGTGCCTCCTTCAATCTGAAATTAATTCACTGAAGTTTAACGTTTCATAGAGGTTCAGGGCGTTTCTCTAGCCCCCTTGAATCCTATGTGGCAAATATCCGAAATTTACCTCGAATCGAATATGCCCACTATGAAGATGCAGAGACCCTACGGGTATTTAGCCCTATTATACGCGAGTTTGTCTCTAGTCCGGCGTGGGGTTCAGAACCGGATTCTCTCCGGACGGCATTCAACACCTTGGTGTCGGACATCTGTCAATTCTCCGATAGATTACGAGTACGACGCAATAATTATTTCATGCTTCCTTAACTTATCTAACTCTGATTACATTTGATAGAGGAAAGCTAGGAAGTACCGAGGCCCCGACGAGCGTTGGTGCCACTGGCATGAGGAGCTGCCGTCAATCAAGACTATGTATACCATTTCGTGCGTCGTCGCCTCACTTGCCTAGGGAGCAGCTATGGCCTGACTCATATTGTACGGCATGTTTAGAGATGATTTGTCTTCGCCGTCCGACGGAATCTCTTTTTAGCTGTAGCGTCTCCAGGCATGGTCTAGGACACTTCCCTATACACTTTCATCTGGGCTTAAAGACCGTAATTCAGAGGCTTTCTGATCTAGTATTTGCGCGTTGACATGATTGTTCTCCGGATATCATGCCGAATAGGCAAACTTCTGAGCATGCACTTCAGTTCACCATCCACATTAGCCCACCATGTCTTTTGTGCACTCTCTTCCCCCATATGTAGCCGAGCGTATGGGGTATCATATGTCACCCAAATGAGCTTATGAGCGATGAAGCTGCAGGAGACACGGCAAGTCTGGTAGAGACCGGCCAGATAAACTCTCTTTTGAGTTGAAAAGCCGTAACTATGCGGTTTCTTTAAAGTCTCTACGAGCTTAAGTGATTGTTTTCCGGTAATCGACTGCCACCGACAAGCTTAGGATCATCTACATCGATCCACCATCCATATTGGCCCACCCCGTCTTTTGTGCACTCTCTTCCTCCATACATAGCCGAGCAGACAGAGCATAATATGTCGCACGAATTAGATGATGAGCGATGAAGCTGCGGGAGAGAGAGTGACTGTGGTAAGGAGTTGACCGGCCAGGAAGTGAACCTAAACGAAGCAACCACCCCTCTGCTGGGGACGGTTGATTATTCGGCGTCATGTTCTCACCGTTTGAGCTAAAAGGTCTTCGTTGTTTTTCTTGATACTTGAGGATCTGCGAGGGCCAGCTGGAATGTGGATCCCCTCTGGGGAAAAGAGGGGGAAGCGACCGGTCCGTCGCGTCGCCAACGACCCAAAGATGCTAAAAAACAAAAGGAATTTGCCATCAGCCTGGTTCGAACAGGCGGCCTGCAGATTGTACTTGACGTAAGCTTCAGTCTGTCGCTCTCCCAGCTGAGCTATGACGGCTGTCTGGGGCGGGGCTTCCCGAAATTAGCGAGTCAGGTAAATTTCCGGCCCAAACGAAAGAGTCACTTTTCAGCATCAAATATATGATTATCCAAAAAGAAACCTAATTTTATGCATTGATTAATAGTTGATCTTGGTGTTGAGAGCCCCCCCGGGGGTTCCAAGAAGAAGAACGAGGGAGGCGCCCGGCCCAACCCTGCGCGCCGCTCGGAAAAGCGACTTCTACATGCGGACGGCCCCGGGAGATCAAAGAGTACTAACATTCAACAAAATAACCCATACTCACTGTCGAACCCCTGGATGTGCATGTATTGTCAACCCGAGTCATAAGAACAGACGGCCGGCGCAGGGCGATCTATTCTTAGTCCCGCGGCACTCGAAACCCGAAGGGTTGCTTCAAGAAGCGGCGCAGACTCTCTCAAAACTCAGCAGTGACATAAATGGGCATATTATAAGGTTCCGCTGTATATAAATGCCTTATAAATAGCCTTGGTGTGGTCGAGCGTTTCAACTGGCGCGTGAGCGATCCATGGACTCCCAACTTTCCCTCGACTCCTTGTCCCCTAAGCCGGCCCCATCCGATCAAACTATAGTTCCTCCACGAACGTATCTTTATGCTCGTGATGGTTCTCATGCGCGTATTTGGGCGCTCTCTGATGAGGAGGCCCGCAACCATTCACGAAAGACCCTCGACGAATTGGGAAACTCTCTCGGCACGTTGACAAGGGCCATCGCCGAGAGCACTCCAAACCCATTCAAAGCAAAGAGTCGGGACCACACGGACTTTCAGCGGATCGAAGCTGGTTCCAATGGGCCCCGGCTCGAATCCGGCGAACGGGGACCTCCAGATTTTTACGTTCAGTTCTCAAACAACAATTCCGGTAACACGTACATTCTTTGGGAGGGAGCTGGACCGCAGTCGGAATCATTCCCAAACTCAAAGAGGTTGATGGACGTTAAGCCCGAAAGTGGGTAACATGCATCTTCCCTGGCTTGGTCGGTACTGACATCGTCGGAAGGCGTCATCGGCAACACGTCAGTGTATACTGACGCCGAGGAGCCCGAGGGGCGAACGGCCCGAATGGACAAGGCGGGGAGTAGCTGGTTTAGCATGTAGGTATTTGGGTCGAGAAAGCGAGGTGCACGATCGTTGACACTGCGCTTCGCTAGCAACCGAACGCTCGAAGATTTTGATGGAATGCAGTACGTCTGGAAGACGGATCTAATGGACAACCTCAAGGCAAGTAATTTCTGTTACAAACAATGGGTGTCATACGCAGCTCAACTCTCGCTGAGCGACGTTTAGTGCATGCGTTCTGATGGAATGGAAATGGCGTATTTCCACAGAACCAAGTTCGCTTGGATCGAAATCGTAAGTTCAATAGGTGATGTGGAGTAGAATGTAACCTGAGACTCCATGTCGCGCTGGATAGGGCCTCCTTGACATAAAACAGCCGACCACCAGACCTTTATGCTACTTGTTATTGAGTGCAGCTTTGATCAAGTATCAGCAATATAGGAAGAGGAGAGGCTCAGAAAGTCCACAGGAGAAATAGGGCTTGAACTTGGTCTAATGATCGTACGATTGAATGCTGCGGTGTAATAATACAAAGGGATATATCGAGTGGCGAAAAAAGTCTGTTACACGGCTATTCGGATGAGATCGTTCCATCGATGACGTAGAGGACGCCATTAGACGCCTGCGAATAGCGATATGTTAGCTCGGTTGAGGTCATAAAGTAAAAGTGCGTGCACGAACCGGAATCCTTTTCTTAAGCCCGATGGCGCCGTCACCCTGCGCCAAACCGTAGTTCTGCCATTCCGCGGATTGGCCCGTGTGGGTCTTGAGAATGGAGACGGACCTGCCTTCGAGCAGAGTGGGAAGGGGATTCTCCGATGTGAAGTCAATGTCATCAACCTGTACGGTTCAGTAGTCGGGTGAGCGGAGCATCTCAGAAGCAACCAATTGAAGAACCAGTCTCACCGGAAGGATGTGCGCACTAAGCCATCGCTCCACGTTTGCCTTTCCCATCTCCTCCGTTATCTCAACTCCAATCTCTCCATCTGGGCTTGGTTTGGGAGGACCTTGATGTGGCTTCCAACCGAGCGAGATGACCGCCTTGTTGGTCGGTAAGAGCAACGTGGTCTTTACGCTCTCATTTTTCATGCGTTTGCTGATAGCTCCCGATTCCCGAAGATAGTCGAAGAAGATTGAAGACCCTCTCTGGAGCACGAGAAGGTCAAAGATGGTGGGAAGGGTGTTATCGGGTCGAACGAAATCCTCAGGTGCTGTGTCCGAAGCCATTGGTTGTTGGTTGTCTTTGGAGGCGAGTACACAAGATGATAGTAGTGGGATTGCGAAGAAAGGAGCTGTGAGGCGGCTTGCAAGCATCGTGGCTCCTTTGAGGTGGTGATTGAAAACGAACAAGCCCCCTGTGGCGCGAGTTCCGGCTTACGTCATGGGACCGTTTTCCTTTCACACAGGTGGTGCCTGCAAGCGACCTCAGTTATGCACTCCTCAATAATCTATATCATACTAATATACAAGTAGTACGTAGTATTATGAGCTACTCCGATAGCTGGCCTCCTGCCAAGTTCGCCGAGGCCTTCGGGGGAATTTTGAACCATCGAAGAAGCTCTCGAATGATAGACAGAGTTGCGATGGATAGCAATCCATTCACGCTCAGTGAAAATATTCCACGAGGCTCGGCGAGAAACGGATACTCCAGGTCAAATTTGAGTGTTGGATGCCTGCGGGGAGAATGAGAGGCATCGTTAGAACCAGCCTAAACAGTGGAAGCGTTCAAGGATGGGGATATTTGAGGTCAGAGTTGGTCAAGGTTGTCTTCAATGCATAAGTGGGGGTCTTAATCCCAACTCGGAAACACGGACCAATGGTCGTCTTCATGGGAAGCGAGAATGGGGAGCAGACGAACACGAGATGGGAACTTACCGAATACAAGGCATCGTCATGCGTGAAGGCTGTATCAAAGAAAATGAGTTGAGGGGTCTTGGGAGGACCTATAGAAATCACAACGTCAGCGAGGTCCAACGCGGGCTCCGGACGAAGGTGGATGAGAAGGACGAGTCAGGTAATACATGCAAATTTGATCAAGAGCGACTAGGTCGCTTCACGACAAATTCAGGAGTTATTTTAAGAAGTTCATCATAAAGGGTCGAAGGGACTACGAGAAGGGGATGACGAGAATGAAACGAACCTCGAAAAGGACTCTTTCAACCAAAGCGCGGAGCAAGAACCCTTGCTCGGTTGGTGGACGCTGAATTTGAGCAGTGATCTACATGATAGGGCCGTGTCAGTGCTAGCTCGCAACATTAGGAACGAGCAACTGAATGTTCAGTGGGCAGGACATAGAAAGGGTCACTAGCATCAACGATGCTTCCCAGCGTAAAACCAGATGCCTCCAAATGGAGGTGTTTCATCCTAGGTGTAAGGGACGAAGGGGGACTGACCTATGGATTTATTCATTTTAGTTCGCCGGGAATAGGACGAGACCTTTGAACGATTGATCTACTCAGTCTGCAAGAAACGGATGTGTCAGCATCTTGTTCCGATTTTAAATGAAAGTGACCAGGGAACGAGGTTGAGAATGTGGTGAAGCAATGTACGCGATCCTATGCGTGAGGATTGCCATGGGTAGAAACCCCAATCGTCCCCATAGCGAAGGTGCG